CAGTCTATGAACTGCTTAGGGAACTTTTTCAATCTTTTATTCCTTTGCTATATAACAGGGTCTTTTGAAGGAATAAGTACATATTTCTAAGTTGAAAGTATCTGTCTTTACAATTCCACTTCATTGGTTATTCTGTCTTCTTATCAGGGAAAAACTGTGCCACATAGCATGGATTATTAAAGCTTATTGGTTTAACTGATGATATCGAGGCAATACAAAATCTTATTTACTAAATATTTATTTTACGTTAAAGTTTTAAAAAGTAAATATAAGAGCAGAATGTGCTTTAAGTGATTTTCAATGATAATTTCCTTCCTTCCTTCCTTCCCTCCTTCCTTCCTTCCTAGGTTACTTATCATCAAATTTATGGTGTCCTTATACATAACCATTTCTTAATCTGTGAAAACTCACCAGAATGAGATAATCAATATTAAAGCAATTTGTAAACCACAAAGTGTTATGCAAATGTAATTGCCAGATGCAGTTGAATGATAATCCTAATGTCATGATAATCCAATAGTTTTTTATGAATCACAGTCACCTATCCTGATATAAGATTTTCTCATTAAAATACTCATGACTTAGAATTTCAAGGTAATATTCTTCTTTATGTTATCACCTTTAAAATTAGGAAAATGTAGGAATAACATGCTCAGCTAATGACATTGAACATATTTCCTTTTGTTTTATGTGGTCAATATGTATGTATTGTATTAGCTCAAGTGAAGTTTTACTTTTCTTGTGTCTCTAAGGAATGAAGGGTGAGGGTAATACATTCCAATATGTTACAAGGTCTCCTGGGACACAGACTGCAGGCACCTAAAGCCTCGGTACAGGGATTTTACCTGCTTGCTCTTCAGAGTTTGCAAAATGTATGACACAGAGAAAGCATTTAATTCTGAGTAAGAAGAGCATCTAATGCAGTGATGCCACTAATCAGCAACAACTGGAAAGAAAGAATACCAACAAGGGACTGGCTACTCATAAGCCCCCAGCCTGCAACAGCAGCATATGTAGAGCAGACACTAAGTTGTTATTTGTAGCCTTAAAAGTAAAACAAAGGGGGTTGGGTGGAGCTCAGTGGTACAGCACATGCCTGGCATGTGTGAGGCCCTGAGTTCAATCTCCAGTTCCAAAACAAAACAACAGTAAAACGGATAATAAACAGAATCCTAAGACAATCTACGTTTTGAAAGGAAATCACTCTGAATGATTGATTGATTAGGCACTTAGCCTCTTTAGTTCTCTGTTCCTTATCTGTAGAATGACAACTTTGACCAGATGATATGGATATGTTCTCTATCTAATTAAGGGTCCATAATTTTAGAATAGCTGTAGTTAAGAAAATAGAGGAACAAAACTTTGAAAAAAATTAAAAGTGTTATACATATAAATGGCATAGGTGGAAAGGGCTTATGAGGGAAAGCAAACATCTGGTCAAAAGATTCTAAAGTTATCCATCGTTCTTGTGAACTGTTCATGCCTTTTAAGGATCCCCTTTCTTTGGAGCTGCCTATCATTTGCCTACCAATCGAAAGCATTCTTATAGAATGCACTGTAATACTGGTCACCAACCTCAAAAAGTCACTTTCTATATTTGTAGCTAATAGATATATAGCAAAGAGCCCCATGTCATTAATGATAACTTAAGTTATCTTTGGTCCACAGCTTTCCATGGTTTATTAATGGCATAACACATTAATTCTTCTTTCAGAAGTGACCTTTACAACACCATTAATCCTCACAGCTTTTATCCAACTACATTATTACTCATTATGGTTTCAGCTTTCAACATCTGCATTTGTTGAAAAGAGAAAGTAAATTGTAGTAGCCTCAAACCCTTGGAAAATTTGAGGATGTGTATGTGATGAAGGGGCTTTTCAAGAAGAAAATAAGAGATGTTTTAGAAGTGGGGAAAGTCATATGATAAATGTCATTAGATACATTTCTGCCTTCATAAAATACTTTGTCATACTTAATCCATGAGAATGCTAAAATAAAAAATCCACATACGATAAAAATGCATATACATTAGTTATTCTATTAGTTAAATATTTGAGTTCTAGTAACATTACAAAAATAGCTCATATATCAACACTGCGATATTTATGAGCCTTCATGTATATTATGCAAGTGAATCATTCTCGCCAAGTAAAATATTTTTTCTTTTACATACTCAGAACATAAAAGCAAATCTGATCTTTCTACCAACAGCTAAAGGATGCTGAGAAGAGCAACTAAAGAGTTAGACCATAAAGGTGAAAATGCATGTGTGCCTTCCAAACTGCTTTCAAACTTCTCAAAAATTCAGTTTTCACTGGTTCTCTTCTCACTGCTGCTCTAATGTATCAGACAAAATTCCTCTAAACAAATAATCTTGAATTCTAGTTTGTGGAGATTAAAACATTTGCAATATATCCTGCAGTCTTTTCTCTATCTAGCTAACAATTTCTCTGAACCTTGACCATTTTTCTCTTCATTTCTTTTACTTCCAGATCAAAAAAAAAAAAAAAAAGAAAAGAAAAGAAAAAGAAAGAAAGAAAAAAGAAAGAAATGGAGATCTTCTTTCCAAGACTAATTTTTCATTATCTCCTTGTGATATGTTCACTCTTGCATTCTTTCATAATTATCTCTCTCCAGATTCTTCTTCTTTCTCCTTAGAAAGGAAAATATTCCTATTCTGAAATCTGCTCAGCCTTAGTATGTACTGTCAACTGCACTTTCTCATATTCTTCAAAGCTTCACAATTGGAAGTTTGTTCAAACCACACTAGTAAAATTTCCTTGTCAGAGTCTACCAATCTGTGAACTCCAGAAAAATCCTAAGGCTTTTCTTCTTCATGATCTTTACCGTCCCTACAAAATGTGCCACACCATGAAATAACCCAATTTTGTTGAAACTTTTCATTTTCCTAGGCCAGCATGACGTTGCTCTATCTTCATTCATATTCTAAGACACTCATTAGTTTTCCATCTAAAAAATGTGGTGGTTTAAAAATATGATACTGTTTCCTTCAAAAGTAGGAGCCTAATTTCCTTTCCCTTAAGTTGGGCTGAATTTAGTAATTCTCTTATAATGAGAAGAATCAAGAAAACTTACTGTGTGCAACTTTGGAGATCAGGTCATAAAAGGTACTGCAATTTTCTCTTTGTATATTCTCTCTTGGATCATTCACTTGAGAAGATCACCTATCATGCTTTGAGCAGCTCTAGCTATAGATTTATATGGCAAAGAACTTTGTTCTCCAGACAACAGCCATGAAAATGAGGCATCTTGAACAAGGATATCCATCGCCAGTAAAGTTCAAGGATGACTACAGCTCTGGCCAACATCTTGACTGTAATTATTTGACACAGTCTAAGCTTGAATTAACTGACCCTTAGAAACTGTGAGATTGTAAATGATGTTTGTTTTAGGTTTCTTAATGCAGCAATACATAACTAATACAGTAGGTAGCACCAATGATTCTCCATTGGCTTCTCTCTTACCAGACATATTGTTTTCCGGTGAACTTATTTTCTCTCCTGGCTTCAAGGAATGATATTTCCATATATAAAATATTAGCACACTATTTACATATTAGTTTTATATTCACAGTTACCTCCAGAACATCAATACTTACATGGTTCTTTGATTCAAATTCCACATATATTAAATTATTATATGTCTTACCCCAAATTTTATCCCATTTTGGTCTTCTCTTTCATAGTTAATGGAGTCAACAACACTTATTATGACATAAAATCAAAATCCTTGAATCCTCTGTCTCCAACTGGAACCTCTTCAGATATATTTGATGGTTAATATTTTATGTCACTACTATCTCTTCAATCTGTCTTCTCCTTTGCTTCATCATTGTCTATTTCTATCTCATGTAGCCTACTCTCATCTTACACTAAAACAATGGTTTCTTTGATTTCAGTATCTTTCTGTTGACAGTACTTTTCATAAAGTTCTGATCACATCACTTCCTGTAGAAAAAGTCAAAATATCTTAGCCAAGTATTAATCTGAGCCTTTCAGTTTTCAACTTCATCATTTTCTACCACATACTCATTCTATAATCAAATTGGTGCATTTCTCAGAAGTATGTTGTATTCTTTTCTTAGCACCCAGAAAGCTTAGGAATATAGATCCTCCTCAAAGGTCAGATTCAATTATGATAGCTTCAATTTTGTCTTTTTTAATACTTCTCAATGAGAATCCAACAGTCTCCTCTAATCACAGGATTGCCGCTCTAGAATAGCACATACTATACCTGACTTGTACTATAGGAGAGATGACTCCTCCCCACCTAAACCATAAGACTGGCTACTTGAGGGCTAGTCTATGCTAGCCTCCTCATAATGAAACAAAGTACTAAACATATCAACAAATTTGTGCTGGATTGAGTATTTACATTCTAATTTATAATGCCAAAATAAAGATCTTTATATTTTCAGTCAGCTTAAAGAAGCATTCCTTAATGTTTATTTACTCTACTAAAATGACACATATAGAGAAGTGAAGGCATCACTTTTAATAATGTTTTGGTGTGTTCAAGCAGAATTTTTAAACAGAATGGAATGGAATTAACTTCACATCCTAGTGGTTGATTGCTGATTCAAGTAGAATGTATTTCATCATTATATATACTTTCTATATAGTACAAAAAAATGAAAATAAATTTCAGTGAAAGAAAAAGCAAGTCACCTAACAACAAAATACTGGAACCCCTGCTTACTCTGATTAGTCATTTAGGTCTCTTTTTAATAAACTTGTAGACATAAGTTACACACATAAATATAACCAGTACAATTTGATTGCAAGGGGACATTATAACTTGGACTTCAGTTAGAAATTACACTTGTGTGTTTAAAGCAGACCTGTGTAATCCTTTAAAATGAAAGTCTCCTACTGAGCTCAAGCCATGCACAGAGTATGAGTGATATGCCATTAAAGATGATTTCAATCAATTGGTACAAACAGAAAATCAGCAAGAACAAAAGAAACAGAACTTACCTATTGTGCTAACTCTGGCTGAAGGACTAGCTAATGCTGCTGGGACAGAGGCTTTGAGGGGGCCTGCCCCACTGTTTATTCTCAGAGCTGGCATATGGGGAGAGGTGGGTGATGTGGGTGATTTGCCATCAGAGGTCTTGGGTTTGGCTGATAGGTTCAGTGGCTGTGCCACTTCATCCTGCAATGATCATTAGAACATGAGCTGTGGTAAGGAAAGGCTGATCAAAAATGTCTAGAAAAACACAGGTATACAGCCTGTCATTTCCCATCAAATTACTCTACCAATCAGTGATCTTAACATTCAAGCTGAACATTACAGTGTTTGGTTAGCTGTCAACAATGTCACTTTCAACTACGTATTACAAAACCCCTGTTGTATAAGAGAAAGGACACATGACCTCGACTATGCACTGAAGGCACATAATTGATGTAACCTGTAAGAAATATTCTTAAAAAGTTATTCTTTATACTATTCATATTTATTGAGAGACATTACAGCTCTTATAAAAATTCTGATGTAGGTAGGTGATCTTTTTGGTTCTGTTTTTTAAAACCTCCAAATAACAGGGTTTGAATCTCAAGCATCTTTCTATCCTGGTGCTTGGGCAGAGTACCTGGAACATCTGTGATGGATGGATAACTTAAGTGGTTGTGCAACTCTCATTAGAACTGCTCTCCAAATTAAATACAAAATAGAAGAAAATTTTCTACCTTTCTTAGAAAATAGTCACTTCCCCTATGTTTCTCAGAAACACTTCTGGATTTTATTTAAAAAGGAAAAAAACATAATAAACATTATCCAAATATACACTACTTATTTACATGTGACACTGTTGTAAACATGTAACAGACAGCATTTTTTTGAAACCCAGATTTGTTTTCTTGATGCCTTAAAGCATGCTACACGTGGCATGAAGAATAATATGAGATCTGTTCAGCACGGTTAGTGATTTCCAATTTTTCTATAACTGAATAGTTAAAACTCTATTTAATGCCTTTCTATTTAGCCCTTATGTAATTTCATGTGTGAAATTTATGAATACAATATCACCAAAATTTCGATTGCAACATATAAGGATCAGATAATATTAGCATCATATCACTTTCCTATCATTATAGAAAGTTAATTTAGTCCTTCCTTTTCTGTGTTGTAAAATAGGAATAATGTGCCACTTACTTGTATATGATTGTTTACATTACATCCAAGTTTACATTGATATTACAGTAGGATAGAAATTTAGTTCCCACTTAGCTACTATTTCTTGAGTTAAGAACATAAAGTATTTACCAATAGCAGGATAAATATTTGAAAGTAGCATAATTTTTAATCAAATGGGTAATTAGGTAATATGGAGACATTTTTCATTAACATATACAGAAATCTTATGTTCATATTTACCAAAAAAATTGCAATAAATTATTTTACAAAAAATGGTAAAACAGAGCTAGGTATGGTGGCACATGCCTATAATCCCAGTGATTTAAGAGGCTGAGGCTGGAGAATCACAACTTCAAGTCTAGCCTCAGTATATTAATGAGACCTTCAGCTAATTAGCAAGACTCTGTATCAAAAGAAAATAAATAAATACAAGGTCTGAGTACATAGTTCAGTGGTAAAGCTTCCCTGGGTTCAATTTAGTACCAAAAAACAAAACAAAACAAAACAAAAAAACAAGTCTTGTGGTATAAAATGACATCCATTTCAAGTTTACATATTTAAGAAGTTTATTATTGGGCTTTTTTCTTTAATTCTATAGTTAGGTACCCTTAGGAAATTCATAAACAGACTAGGAAAAATTGCACTTGAAACTCCTTTTTTTTTTTTTTTGGTTCATTTTGTTTGTTTGTTTAAGAGAAAAGAATAGTTATTTGAAAAATTCATGAGATAATTCATATTGGCAATCTACTATCATGTGAAATACAAAATAAATTACTGATCATTATACCAAATTATATTGATTCATAGGATCTTGGTGAGAAGTAAAATAAGGGGTGGGTCCCAATAACCTGTGCTTTCATTAGCATGTCCAGGTAATTCTGAAGCACACTAACATGTGACAGCCACAGGCTTATGTAGGGAGACGAAAAAGTTTTATTAGGCTTCAAAACCCTTTCAAAACCATCCTCAATATAAGAAAATTACACTTAAAATAGGTTAATAGTACCTCAATCTTTAAAATTGATTGGGACATCTATGCTAACAATAAAACCTAGAGACATTGATATGCATAATAAACCAAATGCTACTGAGATTCTGTGCAACAATCAGAATTAGAATCCAGATCTTTTCCCTGAATTAAGTTTAAACATCCTGACTGTCTCATAGGGACTTTATTGGCTAATTAATATGCAACTGGAAATATTCCAGGCACTTTCCCCTACCACCAATTATACCTGTTTGCTACTCTCTGTGTGAACTAGGGGCTACTGGGACAGCCCTACAACATCTTTTTGACAGGACCAAACAACTTCTGGAAAAGTTTTGAGGAATGCTTCAAGAAATTAAAGGGAGCTCCTTCACTTGACCATGCAGTAAAATAAGAGAGGAAAGAAGGTATTCCCAGTGTTGGAACCGGGGAGATTTATGAGCAGAAGGGAAATAGAGTGTGAGTGTGTACACAGGGGGGTGATGATGTTGATGAAAATGATGGAGACTTGGAGGCTGAGGGGTGAAATGCCACATGTCTTAGCTTTAAGCACTAAGAACTATTATATGCGCATGCTGAAAGATGAGTATTCAAAGCATTTATTAAAGCAAGAGACCCACTGGAATGCTTAATATTCTTCACTCAAGGCAGCACAGATGTCTGAAAGCCAAAAAGTGCAGGGCCCCAAGGACATAATAGAGGTTGACAGTTCCAAAGTTGATATAAATGTCATTCAAAATTGCCCTTTTATTCTTTCCCATTGTGTGACAGGGATAATGGTATATTTTAATAAGAACTCATATGCTTGATCCTTCTACTGGTAACTGTATAAACAATTCGGACTCTTATATGATATTATTTCACAATTTGAGTATTCAATAATTTACTGCAGAGATACTATACCAAAATGCCTGTTATTCATGAAAAATAAAAAAATTTTAGTAGTTTTCTACTTTCTATTAGTTATTTTTCACTTGACTAGATGAAAATTTAAAAACCTTTACTATAAAATGGACATAGACTATTTATTTATGGCATACACTTTCATAGTTATGAATATGAGCAATAAACACTGGAGATACATATTTTTCTACTTTGTTCTTTCACTTCTAATGCTTTACTTAGGAGGAATTGGAAAGCTTAGCATGATTAACCCCTACTCCTACAAATAAAACACAGATTTAAAAATAAAAGTAAATAATTATATAAGGAAGAATATTAGTAATTTTTAAGGTCAGGGAAGCATTGGAAAAGAGCATTTCTAACTGGTATATCATCAGGCACTGAAGAAAGCAATTTCCTTTTAATCATTCACCCAATTATTAAATGGAGTTGCCAAGTGAAACTTTTGAAGAGAGCATATTTCATTTATACATAAAGTGATGTTTATATTATTATATACATGTGTTGAATAACTTCAAATAGTGTGTGAAATTTGTGTGTAAAGTAAAACATGTTTACTTTAGCTTACAGGTTTAAGTTTAAATACTTTATATTTGTCTTAACCAGAAGGCCATTATTTATATTTACAGATTTTGTTATACATATCCTAAATCATTTATTTAATCTTTAATACTGTGAATTAATGAATAAGCTCATGGAGGAAATTAAAGCTCAGAAAATTGTAGTGAAATCCAGGTTTTTGGACTAAACATATAATATTCTTTTAATTCCATATGACAAATTGAATCCTAAATCTAAAAAGACACTGCTGGAACATAATTTCTGAAATTCCAGACCTAACCATATACTTCTATCAGATAACAAACCACATCAAGGCTGATATACATGTGATAAAATGAACTAATCCACACGTTTGCCATCTTACACCTTAGCTTAACAGTTAAGGCACATACTGTTGACTAACTTTTGGTGACTTTTTGTGTCTCTTTATTACCTATACTATACAGCATAAAATATTTCCTTTGGTATTACTAAAAAAAAAAGTTGTTTGATTAGACTGTTCTTTGGGGAAAATCCCAAGGGTTCAAGCACACCATACGTGGAACAAGACCTTTGTATGTCTAAATACAAATTTTAGAAGCCTATTTCCAAATATTACTTCTTCTAATAAACTATTGGCTAATCTTAATTGTCTTCAATGAAATGTAGAGCAAGTGAAAACCACATAAACAGAGAGTCAATGCCTGTTCCATTTTCTCATAGCTACATGACTTGTCTGAATGTGACATTTCACTCAACAGGAGCTTGTGGCCACAGTAGAAGAAATATTGTGGAGGCTCTAATTAATTTGTATCCCAGCCAATGACAATCTCCCACCCAGAAGACTAAATCAAACACATAAAAAAAAAGAGTGTGACACAAATATGTAGACTTCGATATACTGAAGAAATTCTAATTGTCATCATGGACTCATAGATTATTCTACATGAACACTGTAAAAGAACTACATAAAAGTAAAATAGATTTTATTTAGATGACTTTCAAATAATACGTTATTTTAGAAAAAACACGTTATATTAACATAATTGTCTAATATTCAAAATTTTATCTTACTTAAAGAATAAATGGCTTAGAAAAATCAAACATAATTCATTAAAGAAAAAGCATTCTTCAGAATCCTGTATTTTTTCTCTCTCTGTACTACTTAGTCTTTCATTTTTTTTGGTAGGGAGTTTTATCAAATAGAAAATAGGTATACTAGTACCCTAGAGGCACTTACTAATTTCTTCTTATTTTCACCCTTGTTCTTTAGAACATAGAAATACACCCACACCTGGATTGTGGGACCCCAGGGTACAAATGATGATGTGGAAATAATTTTACCCTTAGGAATAAAAAATAGAACTTTATTTATATCTTCATTCTTTATCATCCAGCTGCTGGTTTGGTTTGTGCCATATCAGTTATCACAAAAGTTTACTTCATTCAATATTTACCTATATTAATTATTGAAAATCAAACATTTACTTGGCAGTTAAATTTACATCTCTCCAATGGCAACAGACAAGAATATACAAACTTACTTAATCAACCATCCATCTATTCATTCATTATTTACTGAATGGTA